TATACTTGTTTATTAAAATATACCATACCGTGAGTCATAAATCTTATCATATAGAAATTAATTATATTGTTTATTTAATAAAACGTGTTTATACATAATTGATATGATAATATATTATTATACGTTTACGTTATTTTTTTATTAATTATTATTAATTACCTATGTAATTATAATTATACTTCAAATTTTAAACTTTATTTTAACACTGATATTTTTTCAATTGAAATTGGCCACTTTTGAATGTTTTTAAAACCGTCATATATTATATATATATATCTTATCCATTGATTAAGAATTCGATATACATAAAGATTAATACAACTTATGATTATAAACATGTATGTAAATACACATGTAAATTGGCCAAAATGTTGATACAATTTGAATCATTTAGATGTTTCGTAATTCTGTATTTTTTTTTTGTTTACTTACATTGCGTCCCTTGGAAGTGTTTGCCAAACTCTGACCAATAAATTCCAGTAATTGATTATTAACCATGCTGCACTCAAAATTGGAACTATGCAAAGCATACAATAATTGAGGTTGACTAAAATAACAGCTACAGCAATAGCTGCTGCGAGAAAAACATATGACACACTTTGTTGATTATCTAAATTCATAATTAAGGATACTGTAATGAAAAGGTAAACAAAAATAATTTCCCCAATTATAACTCAACCCTAAGGTGCACGCCGTGATAACTGTGCAACGACTAACCACTAGTTGCCCGGTCACGGTGAATGGACTACCCAGCTCACAGCTGTCGGATGTAGTATTGCTATATCCCATACTTTATAGTTATATATTGTGTAATATAATCGCAACAGCGACATCTGGTGGCACATATGCTTGTTTAATATCAACTATAAAAAAAACGTTTTTAAACTAACCTTTGAAATCATTTTGAACTAAATATTAAACAGGTATTATGTAATACGTGTTATGTATTATGCTTTGTTCCGTACATTTATGATTATAGCTAAAATGGTTATATCGATAAACAATTTTTCCTTTATAAGTTAATACATTTATTTAATATTGAAATTCTTATAACGTATTTTTTAAGTTTTTGAAAAATGTATTTTATAAAAGCCACATAGAAATGAAAAATATAAAATTTAGATTTAATTATTTTGAGTATCAAAATAGAAAATATGTAAAAGCAAATTATTAAATTCATTTTTATCAATTACCATGTAGCTGTCCAAACATTTTGAACTCTATAATAGGTTAAATCATTTGATAATGTAAGTACCTACATTAAAATGTAAAGAATATGGGTAATAGGTAGTAAATGACACACTGTACTGTATTATAATCTATATTGCTCATTTCTGAAAATGTTATTTTTCAAAGCTATTTCTGTGCTTCAAAATCATATCAGTAATTTTAAGTGTATTTGATACTATGGAATCCAATAATAGGGTCATGAATGTAGGTACAAAGATTTTAAATTGTAAACTTTAACTGTTTTTTTCTCGAATGACTAATAGATAATAGGAATGTCTTATGTATAGGTACATTTATACAGTTCTTTAGATTATAATATAGTTTATATTACTGGTTTATGTATATGATTATGAACCACATGACTCATATTTAAACCATTTATATACGGTTACCTATACTGTATACTATACCTACACTTTGACGTGTATATTTTAAGCATATAGCTAAATTGTGATATGGTCATAGTATGCATATAGTGTTTTTATTATTTTTATAAGAACAATAATTGGTGTAACATTATAATAGTGTTTAAATTGTATGGATTGTCATCTGTAGATAAAATAATTCTTTTATGAAAAACGAACTAATCAATATTTTTTAAAACAATATGTGTATACTATAAAATTTAATAATATTTACTCATGTTAATATAAAATACATTGTAAAAGATTATATTTGATTAAATAAAAAGTTATATAGTTAATAAATGAAACTATGCACTTCATTGGAAACTTAGTATTTTGGCCAAGGTACAATATATATTTATTTGTGTAGATTATACGTTATAGTTAATGATATGCGTGTAATATTTATATTCATTGCCACACAAACATAGGTTATAAAAGTTCACGACATGTTTTAATCTACATACAGTTAGCATTTTATTAAATGCGAATAGTGTTTTTAGTTTAGCTTTATGCTGTAACTTTATTATGATATTTAAATAATTAGATATGAGTGTACGTGTTCTATTAAATTAACCAAAAATAATATATATATATATATTTATAATGTTAGCTTTGCAAATAGTATTTTTTCATGGTAGAATTAGAGTAAAATTATAATGATTTTATGGATACCTAAATTTTATGGATTTTTTTTTTATAATATTTTATTAGTATTGAAATATAAATATAATTTGAATACAATAGTTCTAATTTCTAAGAGTACACGTAACGGATAATGTATTTTAATTTAATTTAACTTTTTTATTCAATAAAACAAAATCAGTTTTTAAAGTTTCAACCTATGAAAAGTAGTTTTTCGATCATACATCACTTTAGATGTCTTTCAAAAGTTAACTTCCTTTTAATTCGATAAAACCATATAAGCTTTTAATGACCTATATATAAAGAAGGCAACGGTGAATGAGAGTTTGAACTATAAATTACTTTCGTCACTTGTTGTGAAATTAATTTAATTACATAGTGCAAAATATATATTTTGATGAACTTAGATGTATAAAAAGATAGAAAAAATGTATTCGATGTATTTTTTAGCCTGTCTTATAACATATTTTCATTGCTTATTTAGTTCATGTTTACTGCATTGAAAAATTTTGTACGTCACAATAGTCACTATCATACTTTTTCAGAATTATATTGTCTTCTGTAGGTAGATATCTAGTTTGTGATTATGTGATTATAATTTATAATATTCAATGCTACTTGATTGCAGTACATCACAAGCTATTTAATTATTTTAACTCATTATGGTATAATTGACCTTATGTAGGTTCTTACTTAAGCCACTTAAGGTATTCAGTTTTTTTTTAATAACGCCTAAACACAGTATGATGATATGAGTTGTTATGTCTTTTTAAATAATATCACAGTTTTACACCTGATTCATTTACATTTTATGATCAATGAAAAAGTTACAGGCAAGTATATAAATTTCGTCATGAAAAACATAATAGAATAAATTTATAAATAAATAATTTGTTTACATTTTATATTACTAAGCATAATATAATGCATCATATGCATTTATAAATACAATAGAATTTGTTTTAATAATTGTACTGATAATAGTAATATATACTGGGTTAATGTCATAAAATTAAAGGTCCAGGAAAAATTTTTATGTTTTATATTATAAGATTTTTATAATTTACTATGATATTCTTATGATGACCATATAGATGTAATGACATTTATTTTTGGTGAATTTAGACAAATATTTAATTTATAAAAACCACGCAATAAAAATATACATAATAACATTAATAATATTACACAGAATTACATAAATCAAAATATCAAATATTTATGACTAGAACAAATTTCAAAATAAGAAAAAATATTAAATAATCAATGACAAATTATATGTTATTAATGATATAAGTTTCAAATTAAACTTTGAAAAAGTAAAAACAAAAAAATAACAGAGTTTTGAATGAATTACTACAATTAATAATTGTATGTAGATAATAAATTAAGATGCTGTGTCCTCTAGTCATTTCATTTTCAACTTTCAATTATTTTTTTTTTTTTTTTGTAAGCCGAACGATTATAACTCTAATATAAAAAATCTGAATGAAAAATTATACAAACACATTTTAATTATTATCATTTTTAATAAAATATTACACGCACAATATCTCGCTTAATAGTTTAATACAATAGCTTTAATTTATTTCTCATAAAATTTGTACTCAATCCTAACTCCCCTGAAGCTTTTACAGTCATTTTTCTATCATATCACTGATATCTAAATACTTAGGTATTTTTGGTTTTATTTTTCCTTTAATTTTAGTTACTTTGATTTTTTATCATGATATTTTTCATGTTTTAGGTTATTATTTCCTCTTGATATTTTTTTCGTACTACACAAACTTCATCTGATACTTGAATCTTTTGTATATCCATCTTAAATTGTATAAAAAAGACTATAATAATGGTTGTCATAGTAATTATTTGACGAGACCATTTTTTTAAAACGGTTTTGTATAATAAAGAGATAATTATAGTATTTAAGTGCCCAATAAAAATACATTTTTATTAATAATATATTTTATAAAAATTATCACAATAACATTATGCAACAGTAAAATATATTTACTATTTTGGAAATAACATTTTATGATTATCACTAGGTATCAGTTATTAACAATACCTATATTTCTTTGATCCTCGAAGTTATTATAAACAATTTCTACTGTAGATTGAAATTAGTGTTGTAATGTATAATAAATATATATTTATAATGTACAACTTTTTTTAACCTGTTTTAAATAATGAATATATCTTATATCATTTATATAGTAGGTACATAGGTTTCCAAACTATTTGCTGCACGATTCTCTTTTGAAAATGTTAAAATTTGATGATCTACAACCCGCAACTTACCAATGGCCTATTTTTATAATTCATGTTATTCGCGATCTTTGCGATAACTTTTAATCTGGCAGCATCATAGTGACACATGTCACTGGTACACGTCAAAGATAATAATCAATGATACAAATCAATTCAAACATTTATATACAATACGCTTACACAAAAATACTGTATTATATACTCGTATGTATATATGTATACATATATATAAAATATATATTTTATATTTTTAAAATAAAGAAATTTATAAATATTTAAAAAATTATTAACACGACTCGCAATTTGGAAACAATTAATACAGCGTTTTAATAAACATTTTATATAACATAGAAATATTTAGCAATAGTTACCTATTGAAGACTCCAAAAAATAATTTATACATTTTTCTTTAATATCTAATAATATTGTTTAATGTGTTTATGCTTATAGGAAAAGAAATGGAAAAACTAAAGCATTCGTCTTTTAAGCCGTTAGAAGTTATTTGGAACAGAAATACCAGTAATCATAATCCAAAATTATTACCAGAATTAAAAGGAATTAATATAGAAGATAGCGTTAAAAAAATTAAAAAATCGGTTAAATCTCTGGATGTTAAAATCAATGAAAATAAAATAGAAAATGTTCACAAACGAGTAAAAAGAAGTTTATTCCAAGAAAATAAAAAAGAAAAAAATGACCATTCAAACTCAGTAGAATTAAATAAGGAACTTTGTGAAACTTCTAATTGTGCAAATAACTTTAGAAAAAGAACTTATAGCATAAACAAAACATCTGAATTAAATTTACCTGACCTATCTCTTAAAATTATATCAAATCGCAAAAAAATAAGAAGAAATCAAGATGCTTTAATTCATAAATCAAAAAAATATTTGATTCAAACAAAAAGTGCAAAAAGTGAATCTTCGTCGTCACATACGGTTAATGATGCATCGGTTATTAAATCATCGCGTAATATGGATCAAAAAAATTTACACTTTACAGTTTTTAATCATCTTAAATCTCCAGAGATTATGTCAAATCGAAAACGGTTTGTTATGTACAATAATTTGGATACGACAAATATTTCTAGTAACGATAGTTATAAGCGTTTGTTACCAATTGTCCAAACACCAGAAAAGTTAAATAAAAAATATAAAAATATAAATACGCACATAAGTAAAATTAACTCTATACATTCTGAAGATATTATTGAATCATCCGAAAAAATTATCTCACCTATAAAGAAAAAACAAAAAAAATGTATAAACTGGATTCATAGTAAAAAAACTAAGAAAAAAATATATACTAATGAAAGTAAAGTATCAGAATGTAAGACATTTAACAATGGAAAAAGTGAAATAAATTTACCAAAAAATGAAATTCATAAAAGTACTGAAATATCAACAATCGTCAAAAATGAATTTTGTAATAAAATCAATTCTGATTCTATAGATATTATCAATACAGAAAATATTTCGGAGTATCCTGTAACTGAATTTAAAAGTCAGTGCAAAAAACTTAAAAAATCAATAATTGCACCACAAAAACAACAAAATCGAAGACCAGCCGAAACGTGTATAATTAATAATGATAATCAAATATATTATTCTGACACTTCTTTAACACAATCATCTTTTAACACAAAAGAATTTGTCAAAAATACAGTTAAAGAATATTCAAAAATTTCTATACCACATGGAGCAAAACTTTTCAATCAGAATGAAAACAATACTATATCGTTTATACATTCTTCCAAAATAAATGTAATTCCTGCCACTCCTGAACATGAATCAATTAATGTAGACGATTCGGCAGTCCAATATTCTCCTGAAACCATTTTAAGTCCGTACGTTCCATTGATTGAAGTCGATCAATCGCCTACAACTCCAAATGAAAAAAATTGTCAGGTACTCATTCAGTCTGTACAAACTCCACCGAATGTTGACAACACAACATCGCCAAGTTTATTTGAACCTATAACTTCTCCAACACCATCTTTAGTCAATGAACTGCCATTTAAAGTATGTATTTGAAGTTATAGTATAATAATATGGTTATTATGAACGCATAATTTACTACATTTTTTTGTAGATTGACGCTGTAGAATCACCAAGAGCTGTTCATGAAAATGATGATATATTTTCACCTGAAATAATTAGGAAAAAATCAGACAATAGTCCATCATCACCGAATTGTTTTAACTCTGGTAAAAAACGTAAAAAAATGTGGTAAGTTTCTTAATTTTTTTTTTTAAACATTATTAATTATTAAAAGGTTAAATATTATTTACAGTAAGGATGGATTGAGAGGAAAATTTCGAGATCTTATTAACCGTAAAAAATCCGAAGCCTGTATTCGAGAATATGAAAAAAGCTTATCTAAAAGTTATAAGCCAAAGCAAGGTGAAAGTGCACTATTAAATGTCATTGAAGCATGGATGGAATTTAGAACCATTGTCCTACTTTGTTATTACATGAAATCTGGTAAAAAAGTTAAAATAATAATTGTTATTAAATTAAATCAATAAATATTACTACTATAATATGTTACAGATGAAGAAGTACAAAAAGTGTTAGTTACTCTAAACAATTGTTCTATAAATGCTGCGAAGAATAGTATAATACGTATATACTCTCCATGGTTGACAATTAAATCTGAAATTACTGAAGTATTGTTGTTTGTTGGCATCATTCACGCTGAAGTTATTGCATTTTCAGAATCCATTACTAAACCTCTTAAAGAAAAATTTATTGATATCAATGGATTGTTGACAACTGTATTTCAGAATAAAGTTTTATGGGAATGTAATTGTTCCAAAGGTATAAAATTACAATCCTATTATTTTTGTTTATTAAGAACTAATTAATCTATATTTAATAAAACGAAAATTTAAAATATTCTTATTCATGCTTAAACTAAACATATTTTATATTAAAATTAATCAAAACTGGGTCAGATTTAAAAAAGAGCTGAGTAGGCTGTAGCACAGGGGTTCTCACAGTTTTGTAATTATTTAACAAAACTTGTTTTGTATATAAAATGTGTTTAATTTAAATGTAGATACACGTGTTTAAAAAATATATGATATAGAATTAAAACTACTGGTATGTAGTTTTGCAAGTAAAGAATTGAAAATATTGAATGTCATTTAATAATCAAATAATGTTATGACTTGTTTATAGTTAATTTGGGCCCCCCACAATAAGTATATACTGTTCAAATACCACCACATAACTAAATCCTCCCCTGAATTAAATAGTCTTCATATTAATGTTTTTTATAAATGTTCAAATGTAAATAGTTTTTTATTTAAATTATTAAATTTTTAATTAAATAATTTATAAAACAATAATAGTAAGTAATTACAGTGATAAAGTTTATCTACTTTTATTCTAAACTTAAGGCACCCTTCAAGTAAATCAATATTTCTATAGTAAAACTATAATAATAATTAATAACTAACTAACTAATACCTATATGCTTATTGATATTCAATTACTAATTTAATATAGAAATTGAATCACTGTCATTTCATAATCAATAAGAAAAACATTTTTATCTTGGTTTCTAAAAATTATTTTTTATAATTGCTAATTGTATACATTAATCAGTGGCATATTTACGAGAAGGGAGTGTCCAATGATACCCCTCCCCCCATACCAAAGAAAAAACAGATATTTAAGTATTCATTAAAGAAATTAAGCATTTATATTAATGCTATTCTGACACGATTTCCATGTCACAACTAAATATTAAGTACGGTAAAGACAATAGGTGTTAGGTACCTTTGTGATAAAGACTTAATTGCATGGAAAAACTATTATAAACTATCATAGTTAATATAAATAATTACGAATAAATTGTCGACCCCCTTTCCCCCAGAAAAAAATTAAAAATATACCACTGTGTAATATAAAGACTACTGCCTAGAAATTTACTAATAATTTATCTTTTTTAGATGCTGGTTGTCGATGTTTGGGAGAATTAAGTGTTTACAATTATTTACAATACATGATCCCTCAATAATATGCACTTATTTTAATGTTTAAAGGTTACTTAAACTATTTTTATTATTATTAATTAATTTTACAATCAAATAATTAGATACTAATATATATTTTTATGATACCGTTATTTGTGTTTAGAATTTAATTTCATTATTATTGTTATATTTATTATATGAATTTATCTATGGAATATTTTATTAGCAACTGTTACTTAGTTTTCTAGATTATAAAATTGTAATTTTTTTACTTATACATATTTAATTATGATTATCTTCTAATCTATGTATTGATATTTTATTGTGAAAATAATATGTATTTTAAATAATATGTAATAGGAAATTTATAATACGCAACACAACACACACTCAAAAAATTTTTTTTATCTATCTGTTTCGCCGTATTTATACTTAATTATAATAAATGATATATTTATTTTTTACTTGTTACTAAGAAATATATTTTTTACTATAATTTTATAATTCATAAAATATAATGCAACTATTAATGTTACACAAGTAAAATCTGATAAAATATTCATATCTTAGAACAATATTGTAGGTGTTTCTGTAAGCATAAGGTCAAAATAAATAAATAATAATACAATATGCAATATCAATCAAATATGTCAAATTTCGTAATAAATTATTTATTTACACATTAAAATGAATAATAATCATTTAATCAAATATAATGGCTGTTTAATGTATACCTATCTTGAATAACGTTTGTAATTTATTTAGTTTTATTAATTTGTAGTGTCTAAGCGCATGTTTTGATTTCGAGTTAAAAATAATTATTGATTTACATTTTTATTACTAAACAACAGTAATCTAAACATTTTATTTAATTTAAAATTATATTCATTAATATTTAATTAAAAAGAACTCTTTTTCATATTCCTATATTCTATATATTATCTTATTTAATTATGTATTAGTCGTTTTATTTATGAAATAATAATATTCTCTGAGTATTCATTATACTATTTACCTTCGGGCTACAACCATACATAAAAATAGTATCTGAATAGAATAAGAACCAGCTGTTATAGTTGATTATAATTTATAACATTTAACATAATAAATTATTTATTTTAAATGCATTAATATTTTTAATATTATATTTTAATTTTTAATTTTTACTAGAGGTGCCAAGAAATTTTTTAGGTTTTTAAAATTAAAAACAAAAAATGTCTATATTATTTGAGAAGGTATCCTTTGTCCACATGTTTTGTTTCCATCTCACAAACAATATATAACACAAAATTTCAGTTTATTAGAATGAATTGTGTGTTATTAGATTATTAAAGCAAAATGTCCTATTTTATAAAATTTAAAAGTAAAAAAAAATATCCATGTTTGAATGTTATAGCCTCTCATAATCATTTTTAAATTACAATATTTTACATAGTTATAAGTCTACTTAAAACTGCAAGTATCATAAAGAACAAACATAGAAACAAGTGATCTTACCTTTTTGTTGATGTCATATCACTCGTACCCACATGTATTCTCTCTATCTTATTAATATGAATAATATGGTAAATGTCATGCTCAGAAGAATTCATTTTACTCTGTTATATTTAGTATAGAATGAAATTACTATTATTATTTATTGTGTTTAAATATATAAATATTATCTGGGGTCCAATTTAGCCTTTTTTTTTTTTTTGACATTTTAACTTTGAAGCAAATTATGAGTGTTTTAAAATTGTAAGTTTTTGTAAATTAATTTTAATATTAAAAAAAATCACAGTAAAATTATTCCTAACATAAAATATAATAGTATGCATTTATAAAACGAAAATAAAACTTGCAGGTAAGATGTCTCTTAAGAAAAAATCGTTTACTATTTTAAATAGGTAGTTGAAACAATATTTTGTTTAAAACTAACAAAATATTATTTAAATATTACACATACATAAATCATTTATCTATAGGCTTATAATCAAACTCCATATAGTCTAAATAGGCTCTAGATTCTTTAACAGATTAGACTTTTAATAACCTTCAAGTAGTTATAATTATAATTAATATAATAATATTTATTATTTATTATCTCTTTATGACTGTATCTATTATCTATAGAAGGTCCAAAAACTTCAGATAACAAATATTCAATATACGAATTATTAAAGGAAGCATAGTAAAAAAAAAAAAAAAAGAAGAAGAAAAAGAAAAATATGAAACAATTCGTAGACAATTTAATAAGCTAATTAATTACAAAAAATCAGCATTAAATATTTTGTATATGTTAGGTATGTATTGTTCTAGTAAATAAAAATATAATTTACATATAAATGGTTGTGAGATAATTCAAAGCACTCAATAATTAAGAAAAGCTGAGGAGATCTCAAGGTTAGATAAAATAAAAATGGTTTTCAAGTTGATAATAAAATTAGTACCTACCTAATAAATAACGTTTAATTAAGAAATGTATGGTAAATAGTTTATAAGTACCTATTATAACAATTTTAGGAAATTACATTAATTACTTATGCCATCCGTGATAGGTTTTGCCATATCTATCTAGGTATCTATTTCATATCGAATCGTGGTTCCTCTACGTTTTTGGGGCTAATATGTAAAGTAATATATTTGCTTAGTACCTTTACTGATAGCGTGTGGAGTTTCATAATTTACCGTAATGGTAGTTGTAGCTGATTGTTATGTGCGATTGCGAAACACGTAGAAAGCCGATATGCCTACGACAGCCACCCCTTGCAAAATAGACGTAAAAAGTCTTTGTGATTACGGTAAAGATCTTTTTAGAAAGTACACGGAGCAATATTATTATAATGGCATAATAATTGGGGTCTTGGTTTTTTTATTTATTTTTTTTTTTTTTGTTCGAAGGGGTTGAACGAAACTCCTAGTCGTAATTTATCTTATGCGTTGGCACGTGGCTCGTTTCGTCTCCTTCCCAACATTGCTTATTTACAACTGCAGTCTGTTATGTTTATCTTGCGTATTGGTTGTTACTGTATAATACACAAACCTCTATCATCAATCATTTCATAGTAGCGTATTTGAATAACTTAACACTCATGGGTGACATTTAAATACAAATTTCAAATATCTTGAATTATTTTGATGTTTATTCGAGTGAGTTTCATGAAGTGATTGTATGATTAGTATGAATATAATATTCAAAATGCAATTTTTATAGGCAGTTAGATAAGTGATACATATAAAGTCATTTTAGCCTGTGTAGATTGTAAATAAATAGGTTATTAATTTTATGAGATTTTTATTCGTACAAATGGTGCAAGTTAAAAGTTCATAGGTCTTTTTTTTACATAAAATTAAATTGTTACTATAGTTAAATTGTTTTCAAAATAAAATAATATTTTTTTAAAAATTTGAATGTTTTTTTTTTATCATATACTAGTTAGAAATCTTACCTATATTATAACTGAATTTTTCCTAAATTCATTGCAAAAAAAGAATAGATAATAATTTATAGAATTGAAGATTTTTATAGGTAATAGAATTTTAGTTTATATTGCGTAATTTATAACAAATATTATAATCATTTTTTTTCATTTTTTTTTAACAGAAAAAACCTCAACACCTCAACTATTAGCCGACAATTGTTTACTTATAAATTATTTTACATTAACAGGATAGGTACATATGTACATGTTTGTTGTTTTTTATACTAATTTCTTTCGTATGGTCTTAGTAATAATTGATAAATGAATAATTAGGGGATATTATTTATTTATTTTTATGATATAGGTATATAAACATATTTATGTGATTATGAGTAAATTAATCATAGTTTTTTTTTGCGCATTAAGCTTATAATAAAAGATAAGCAGATAAGTTCCTACACGTCTGTACTACGCTACTTTTAAATAATATTATCACGAAGAGTACATAATATAAATAATAATCTCGTATTATGTATTATATATTTACATGATATTCGTTTGTCGTATAGCGACATATATTTACGCACAATCATAGTTTATAAACATCCGTGTTTTCATGTGTGTACGTATAGGGTTGTGGCTATAAGATACGGCGATAGCTAAGAAACTGAGGCGCATTGAAGATCTTTAGCCCTTCGTTAATTGTTAAAGATTGTTGATTTTAATTTTTGTTGGTATAGAAAATTATTATAAAAAAATCGATGATTATCGGACACCTAAATAATAATTTAGTGATACAGTTTTTCTATTTTAGCACACATTTTGTTTATGATAATTTATTGTTATTCACATTCGGCACCAGAAAAAAAGTACTTACATCGATGTATATAATCTCCATCCTAAGTGTAAAACTGTTTTTATTTCTGCGACTTTTAAATCTATTAATTTTATTATTTTTTTTTAATTCTTAATGTTCTTACTTATATTTTTAATTTATGATTTAGGAAATTATCATGGTTTTTATTATTTTTTTAGATTATCTAACATTTAAACTAAGCCCAAGATAAAAAATAAAACGAATACGTTAGTGCATTAACGAGTGTAGTGTGTACAACAATAAAATTGTTACTTATATGCGTCATTACCTATGTAGGTACCTGTAATTGGGATTTTATATATTTTATCAAGTTTGATGTTTGTAAATGTTAAAATTACAAATGCCGTTTAAAGTATTCAAATACATGATATTATTTACATACGCTTAAAAAACATTGCAATAATACTATTTGATCGTCAATTATGTTATTGCAATTTTCCTATCTATAATAAAACTATGACGAGTATAAAACTCTCAGAACGCCGATTCCACCTGAAGGACTCGAGGAAACCGGCGAATCATGAGCACGCGTTCGCAAAAACGACAACTACTGTAATAGCGGGTACCATGTGCGCGCTTTTCCATTTGACGACAACTACATGCACCCACGCATACACACACACACACACACACACACACACATACACACACCATACAAGCACACACACATACACACACCATACAAGCACACACACAAAATGTGTGTGAAAATCATCATTGGCTTTATTTAACGAATTTTTTTTTTTTTTATCTCTGCAACACCCGCCGCACGTGCGCGACCACGTTCGTAAACTTGAATGAATTATTAAACACTAAACATCAAACGAGTGGAAAAAAAAAAAAACCACTGCCTAACATAATGATAAATATTATAATATTATTATTCAGTAATAATAATTGTAACCGCCGATGACGATAAGACCGTTGTAAATAATAATACATATTATGCGATCGAATATACGACCGCGCGGTATACACGACGTGCAGGAGGCCACAGTGGCTACAACAGACCATCGTAATGGCATAATAATTTGTTAAAATTATATAATTATTATTATCATATTATGATATAACGATGGCGAGTTTAATAATAATAATAATAATAATAATAATTAATGAGACGAAAACGAAATAAAAAGTGGAAAGAACTCGTATGGAAAGACGAAACGAAAAAAATAAAAATACGATTTTTATCATTGTTGTTATTGTTGTTGTTGTCGAACACGAGAGAGCGAGCGAGAGCGGCGAGAGAAAGAGAGAGAGATAGAGCGATCGGCGAGGACGTTGTACACGATGGACGGAGGAGGAAGAAGAGAAGGGGTGAGCATATAGCGATTTGGCATCGTCGGCGCGGCGGGGAGAGGGGGAAATCGAGCATCGCCTCCGAGGAGAAAGAGGAGGAGGCGATAGCGTGGCGGCGGCGACTATTCAATCGGCGCGTATGCCAACGCCGCGAACGCGTCGCCGTCGTACTACTACAACAACCAATACTATTACTACTACTACTACTACAACAATACTTACGTATAATTTACTCTGTGCAACTGGTGCCGAATCTGCGCCGGGGTAGTCGCACGCTGAACACGCGTCTGGTAGGTGCGAATACGCTCTCGTGATATTGTACAGTCGTCGGCCGATCCGTTCCGTTTTTCTATATCATTCAATAATAATATTATTTCGCGTACGCGCTGTAATATGATAATATAATAAAATTATTGTTATTATTATTATTATTATTATTATCATATTATTACCATATTATTGAAATATATTATTTTAAATCTGTGCGTCTCGCGTCTTCACGAGGTATTTACCGAGCGTTTATTTTTTTTCACCACACGTCGATGTGGAAATCTAAAAATATAAAATAAATATACATAGAAAATAATTCGCATTTTCTCTACCGCGTGTCGCGTACTTAACGATATCACATTGCACATTATCGTTGTTATTAACATTTGTATAAAACCGTCGTCCGAGTGCTGGTGCCGTCCGTAGAACTCAATAATATTGTCATCACCGTTGCCCGAAAACGAGCGCGCATGACTACCGAACATCATCACAGTTCGCGCACACGATGAACACGATGGTCACGCCGTTTTCTTCTGCAGCCATCGCCGTCGCCGTCTGTCATTCGACCGCCGTGAGCGCATCGTTCTACCGGTGACACGAGAACCATTTGCACATCGCCGAAGTAGGTTCAGAGGTAGGTGGTCGTCGACAACCATACGCCAAGTAGTTCTCGTCGACACCGAATTTCCGGGACAGTGTTACGCGTCGTTCGGAGCGCCGCACCGTGCACGCCGCTCAGCTCGCGCTCCGGTCTCGTTAGTGCGTGCGCCTGCACACCGTTGCACGCTGCACCGGCACACATATCGTCCCGTGCACACGCGTAGAGACGCAATTCGCCTACACCGCAGTACACTATGAACTCGCCACAAATGTACGACACGGCACCGCAGCCGCACGCCCATCAGCCGCATCATCAGCTCAGCCAACAAGAATTGACGATGGCCGCCAAGAAAGCACAGCTCGGACAGCTCAAAAACAGGTACGACATATCGGAACTGTCCACGCCCGAGATATCGCTCGACCTGCAGAACCTCATTGACGACAGCCAGTTCAGCGAAGGGTTGTTTACGGAGATCCTGCAACAGGGCCAGGTCAAGTTGCCCAACGGCACCGGCGGCGGCCGGAACGGCGTCAACCAGAACGGTTTCAACTCGCGCACCACGCTAGCGTACATGCCGCAGCCCGTGCACTACGAGAGCACGCCGGCTTCCGCGGGCGGCCCCATCAAGGAGGAACCGCCGGAGTCCGTCGAGTTCCGGAACCAGCAGCAACAGCAACAGCAGCAACAACAGCAGCAACAGCAACAACAGTACCTTAGCAACGGCCAGGGGGGCGCGTTCCAGACGTCTCCCGTGTCCAGCAACGGCAGTAGCTCGCATCTCAAGGCCCATCACCACAACCACCACCGGAAGTCGAGTTCCGGCAGCAACAAGTCGGTGGACAAGAACACAGACGAGTACAAGAGAAGGCGCGAACGGAACAATATAGCAGTTCGCAAGAGCCGGGAAAAGGCGAAGATCCGCAGTCGTGAGACCGAAGAGAAGGTCAAACTGTTGGTCAAAGAGAACGAGCGGCTACAGAAGAGGATAGAGCTGCTTAGCGAGGAACTCAACGTTCTCAGGTCGCTATTCACCAACGTGGGCGTCCTGCCCGAACACCTTCACCGGGAGCTCAACAAACATTTCGACGCTTATCCACACTTACAGTGAACCATCGTATGCGTGGTAAATATTATTGTTATTATTTTTATTATTATTGTTAATGTTATTTGATATACTAGAGTATAATATGATTGTTATGTTATCGTCGATCACAGTAAATAAAATAAGTAATTTAAACTCGTGACTAATTCCACAACGCCCACCCATACCTCACGTTCAACACTCACCTCATAATTCTGCCTTAAAGATTTTCAAGGATTTGAAAATTGACCAAAGTCTAGTAGCGTGTGCTACTGTCTCTGTGTATACTATAACGCAGAAGACGTTTTTCATCAGTGATCTGCCAATAATATAAATTATAGGTGTTCATTATAATATGTAATATGTGATCATAAGAAATTAAAAATTTTGGCTTGAGGACGATGTTTTGCGGGTGCAAAAAAAGGTGACGCTTTGTATAATTACACAGTTGCACGTAACATGATATAACACTTGACTGATTTTCACGGTTAGGCGCGGGCGCATGTAATAATTGTGCGTTTGTTTCCTGCGTTTGAACTCGGGAGTAGGTCAACTCAGAAACATCGGTAAATCATTTCCATTAAATTGCAAAGGCTCGAATTTCTTTTCTCTAAGAACTGACGGGTCCAACGATCATTTTTGTGACGATAGCACTACTGCACGCAATTTTAGTAGGTACAAAGTAAATGTTTGTGTCTTAAACCAGTGACGTATCGTCACTCAAACAGGCCCATAAGAGAATATGTTGTATCAGAAAGTGATAGTAAATTGACGAGAATTTTGTTGAAAAATACCATGTGCACAGGTGTATACATCGCGATCACTATAAACACGGTATACATGGGTACAGCGCACTTCGATTACAGCGCGTGTTATCAGCAGAAGTTGAGTGAATATAATAAAATACTCGTATTATCGATTCAATAATGAGTTACGTCAAGATCTGCCTTGACCTATAACTCTAACCAAACACTAAAATCAACAATAATTATTTATTTTTTTATATTAAACGAAAACCGCCTGCACTGGGCGAATCCAACAATAGCCATACAAGCGTCCGTACAACATAAAAACCGCGGCCTATACCTGTTTCACGAGAAAGAGTGATCGTTTATTCGCGGTAGAATCCGGAAGCACGTTTAATGAAAAACAATCTACCGGCAAAAATCTCCATAAATCGTCAGCAATAATGAATTGATTATCATAAAAACAAAATACACTTAATATTATAATGAATTGGGGTACCAGAGGCTTGGCGCCGCCTCCATCGTTCGTGGTGGTAATAACCGATAGCGAAAAATCACTCGGCACTTGTTCGGTATTACTATACAATACTACAATAACCGTAATACCGTAGTACTGTAGTAAACAACTACCGTTCTGACAATTGCCGACCTTTGACCGTTACGTATTCTTAAAACACGACACAATAATAATATCGCGTAAAGGTTTATAAATTAATTACTCGGTCGATCTCCCGGGCCAACACAATACATTATACACGTACCTACCTACACCTCACACACGCATATATTATATTATATTATACATAATGTTATAATGATAAATTATTATTATTATTATTTTTATTATTATTATATCGTAGAAATGACCACCGCCGCACGTATACACACATTGTTTTCACTCTGCGGTGTGCGTGTGGGTTTCTGGGTCGAGTGTATATTATTATTATATATTATGTGCGCGCGAGATGGAAAACGGCGTTGTCGCGTTACATAATGATAATAATAATAATAATAATAATGATAATAGTACAAAATAACGCTGTTCCCAGCGTGCGTTGCGAAACAAAAATATAATATAGGCACACTCGAAAATTCGCCGGGTTTCCACCACCGCGCTGCCGTTGGTCAGACAAAACGATAAATAATAATAATATTCGTCCGTCTATAATACTACGTCATACTATTACTATTATTATTATTACACGGCAATATCGATGTAATAAAATATGATGTTGTATAACACTCACAAGAAGTTATATCCTAATAATAATAATATTTTATACGTAGTGTCCGGCAAAAAAATAAACGGGTGACAAAAGCCACGACGTTTATACAGAGGAAATCGTTGTCGTTCGAGTCCCTTCTAAACGATAGAGATTATACGCTTTTCGAAATAATTATTTGTACTAAAATATATTATAATATTAAATCAGGTGCTCGAAACCGCCCCCTCTCCACCATCACTCATCATCAGAATAATAATAATAATAATACAATCGTAGTGCGGTATACTATTATTATATAATGTATATAGGCATTATAATAGTACTTATATATAAGTACTAACCATGTACCTACCGACCTAGTTGAGCGATTTCTTTGTGTACACCTTAACCTGTTACTATTATATTATATAATATATATATATATATTGTGTTTGCGCATGCATAATCATTTACACTTTTGTGTTGTAGCCCCTTGTTTTTTTTTTCATGTTTTGTTTTTTACGTCTGAAATTCCCATGGACCCCCTAGACCGCTCGTGGGTTTCTGTGTGCGTGTGTTTGCGGTGCAGTGTGCGTATTTGTGTGAGCGCACGCGCGAGTGTGTGTGTTATGTGTTATAAACTCGCACCCCTCGCGGGCAGGTTATCAATCTTTGAATATTTTCCCACACACTAGCCACCACTAACACCACCCCTGCGTACTGCAGGGGCGCTACTGCTGCAGCTTATTCGCATATTAAAAATCGTAAAAGCACACACAAGAGCAGTTTTGTCGTCCGATACCACCCCGATTCGTCAATAGAAACCGGGATAACATTTATATTTCACTGCTTCTGTATAATAAAATAATGGAACACGTAAAAGAACACTGCGAGCGTAAATACTCATAAAACGAGTAATAATAACATATTATGTAAGAAATGTGTGTGAGCAAAACTGACGGGAGTGATAATATTATAATAGTGTACGGTCGTTCCTGCACGACGATTTGTTGAGCATTTTTTTCCCTTTGCGCGTGTACGTATGAGCTATGCGAACGCTATCGCGCGACGTCCCCCCCAAATCAAACATGATGATTTCGATTCACTGATGATGATGTTGTATTTTGTGACCGTGCGATCATGTTACGACGAGACTTTCGATTTTCGATCGCGTCCATTGTATCGTTTTACTTATTATGGTTGACGCGTTAATATCAATATGAAACAATGCTTGCAACGATATGCGATAATTAAAGTTCTTGTTTGATTTATTTTCAGGTTTCAAGAAATTGGCATCGATGAATCCGATTCAATATCATCTCCTCTCACACTTTTTGGTATTAAACAGGAATATTTTCTGACCTGTTTTTTTTTTATTATTATTATTATTATTATTATTTCTATTATGATTATTACTAGTTAGAATAATAGAATGTTATAATTGTTATTGTTAATAAAAATCGTTTATTTAAAAGTTTCTCCGAGACTTCAAACAAAAAAATAAAATGATATGTTATGTATTAATGTAATAATCCTATAATTCTGTACAACTGCAGAGCATCAATACATGCGCTAAAATACAAACGGAAATATATTGACGGCGGTGCTCAAACGCTGAGCTACTTAACTAATATAATATAATAATATCAGTAATGATAACGTTTAATATTGTTTTTGTTTACGTATAAAAAATTTAATGCATACACTCCCTTTAAAAAAAATATTACGAATTTTACTGAAACCTTTCGATATTGAGTACCTTTATTTTTATATGAATGTATCGAAGACATAGATTATTATAATGATATAAACTATTTATTTATTTTTCTATCCATACAAAACCCCAATGCAAATATATTATTATTGTTTGGAAACTCTACAACATTATTCACTCCTCCTTATAGGTTTGTATAAATGTGCATACGCCACGAGTGTTCAATTTTTATTACCTATCGTTTCGGAGATTATTGCTTGTCTTCTTGTATTTCTCTTATAATTATTATTTTACTTACCTATTTTTTTTTTTTTTTTTTTGTACATATTATACAAAAACAAATTAACGTGAGAGGATCGGAGTAATGAATCGACCAAATTGTGTATAATATTATTGTATACATATGTTATACGTACTATGTTATATGTAAAGTCCCTAACGTCATTTTCTTGCTACTATTAACGACGTCAATGGAGATGTGTAATATGTTTATAGATCGTCTTAAGTGTTATATGATAACAGTATCGTAATTCGGAAGTGTTATCATTGGCGGATATTCGTGAATATTACCAAAATTAAAAAAAAAAACGAATATCCGATTTACCAAGACATGCGACATTTGGAAACGATAATAATTTAAAAATGTTTCAACACTGTCATTAAAATATTATTCGATTTCCAAAATATGTTGAATGGGTTGTTATAAGTATGTTTTAAACTACTAGTGATAATACCTATACATCTGTACAAAATATACATATTATTTACCATGTACGTTGTATACGAATGTCCTTCGCCCGCGTGTTTGGGGTGCAATTGTCAGTACGAATTTAAATCTGCATTCTTTACAACTGGGGAAGAACCATATTTTGTTCACAACCAGAAATCCTAGTACTTAACTATAAGTAGGAACGCAGAATGTGCATATTTTCATTATAATTTTTGCATTGTACAAACAGAGGAAGTATTGAATGAAAGTATCGATTCGTTCGGTTTGAAAGCATCTTGTCGTTATTCATTTTTTCTCTAGAACCCTCGAGCGTTGGAAACACGTTAGAGTATTCATTGGTCACCTACTACTCCTCCGATCCGTAAAATAAATAATAAAAATAAATAAATGTATTATATTGGGTTATAAAGTTATAATAACAACTGCCAAAATTGGTTAGGTTTTTTTCTTATTCTTTTCTAGTGTTTTTCTTCTTTTTTTACAATTATATTCTAAAAATTCTTTCAATATTGTGAAACACTGTGATGTCAAAGTGCCTATATAATTAATAATAATTATCGTTATTTTCATACCTGAAAAAAATAAACCAAGAACAACAAATGAGTTACCTGTGTACAGCATACTGGGTTTTAGAGCCAGATGTGAACCACACCATGCCAAAACGTTTATTATAAATGAAAGGAAAAAATAGTTACCTAACGAAATTCCTAATTTATTATATCGGTATAATGTTACCCGTTATGTAAAAGTAGATTTTAAATATATCTATCTATACGTATATAATAATGTTTAATGTTTATATACACTAAAATAATATTATATATTACCGTTTTCTTTATTCTTTTCGGCCTTTCGTGAAAATATATATTTTACGTCTAAACACTATTTTTTTAATCTATTTTTTTTACTATTAATAAAAAGTTACATATTGTATAAGATTTATGAAAAACTGCCTTTGGCTCAACAGAATTTAAAATTGTTGTAAATAACTTTTTTTACATATGTTGTACAATAATAAACATTTTGTACTTTTTGTTTGTTTTCTTTTTTTTTTTTTAATTTTAATTTAAAGTATAATTTTTTTTTTACCTATTTAGTAGTTTTTTCTAGTCTAAAATTAAATTTTTATAATTTGTAAGATATCATATTTTTAGTTATTTAAAATAGTACCGTATAATACATATTTTTTATTTTTTATTATTTAAACATAATTTATTTGTATAGGTTACATACATTATATTATATAAAATATTCTGCAGTTTTAGTGTTAGTATATTTTTAAAATATTATTATGTTATGGTTTTAATATTATATTTTTCTCTTTGTTTTACATTTTTTTCGTTATTGATTAATAAAAAAACTTTTAAAAAACTTTGATTAATATGTTTTGTAGGTACCTACCTGAAATCCAATATTTTAATTGTGTTTTATTATAATATATATACTATAATATATGTATTCACCCTTATAATACCTCTTTTAACACTACTGATCTTATGTGTAAGAACCATAATAATAATAATAATAATAATAACAATAATTATTACACATAATACATATATATATATATATATATATATAATATACACATATATAACTACAAGTACAATACATGATTGTTTTACTCCCAGTATGAAAGTGACGTATCCCGGAGTACGTAATAATATTAAAATACTCGACAGAGGAAATCATGCGGGATGAAGAGAACTCGACTGCGATTGTTAAAATTTTTTGTTTAAAATCATTTATTAAACCACTTCACACGGTAACGTAATAGTCTACTTCTTAGGCATATTACGTATTACACGTTATGTAGCGTTAAAGTCGATTAATGTTTTATAGCTCAGAGTCGTATAATTCACGTATACCATAAGAACATGATATACTCAGTACTCTACAAATAGTTTATTTTTTTCATTTGAACATTGACATAGTGCAAATCGTGACATAATAATAAATAATATGTATATAAGTTATCTATATAGTTTATATACTTATTTAACAGGTCCGTTAATTGAACCAGAAAATAAAATTCGATTTTATTTAAAGCCCTAAATGAAGAATAGTTTTACAATTTCTTACACAATATTACGTTATAATGATGTCATATAATTTTTTTTCAAATGAGAACTGTTAACCTCCCCCATTCAGTGCAGGTAAATACCGCTAAGCGTATTTATTATTTTTCAATTTCGCATAACCGTAATACTCGTATGATAATTATAATAATATATTGTTATTGTACTTCATTCAAATACAATGATTACCATAACGAATATCAAAACTCTTTAATATATTAATATATGTAACTATATTGTATATTTCCATCGTGGTTGATGAAAATTTTGTTCTTGAGAGACTATACATAGCAAAGTAGATGTATAGGTACTTCCATAATATATCTTAAGCATACAACATAAAATGTTGTCATTAAAATCTGATTTTCTTGGACTTTCTTCCGTGAAATTACACTTTTAACCTGTCCATAAGTATCTAAGTGACTATGTAATTATGAATTAGATTCAAAATTGTGTTTAACATTAAATTATTTAACACGCGGTAAATGAGCTATCGCTGTAGAACTGTCATGTATAAAATATATACAAATATTTGATGTAAATACGACCTACAATTATAATTTTAAAGGAAAAAGAAATTATTATACGATTTTAATGTTATTATACTAATAATATTACATAAGGATCACTATATTATTATTATCGTCGATAAAACAAACGGAATAATATAATGAATAATCTCTAAATATATCGCTAATCTCTATCACAGTATATTCAACGAATGTTTTTCCTCGTTTGAGTGTTATAACTTCATAAGTTACAACGAAAACATTGATATTATACAACATTGCGCCGAATTGTCATTATCCATAAGGCTCTACAACATAATCATAATAATAATAAACAAATTGTAAACATGAGCTATTATTATTTACATATTATATGTGTACGTACATAACCAGACACCTACCATTTATACCTACGTTTTACGTAATGGATAAGGTGCAAAGTAAATGTGCGTGTTGTTACAGAGGACTCAGAGGAGGCGTCCAAGTTCGTATAATGCATTGCTGGTGTCGTAGTGCAGAGAATGGCAAGTATATAACCTATACATATTAAACATATTAAAATATTTTTACAAGTATCTACCTATTGGCTATATCAGTTATATATAATAATATGTATATTATACATTTTGTACCTACGCGTATAAATAATAATAATAATATATAGGTAGGTAGAGAAACGTAGTTGTCCGTCACTTCTTTAAAAATCGGAAATAGTTATATAATAATACTTTAATATTAAATAATAAATATGTACATTATTTTCAAACTACGTTAATTACTATTTACTACACACTATACGCATTCACTACATACATAGTATATAAGCAGACAGTATATTAAGGGCTTATATTGTTCATTACAATGCATATTTGTACCTATATAATGTTATATTTCTATAATTTTATCGAATTTTCGTGTATCTATATAATATACCTATTTTAATATAAAACAGCTAGGGGCAAATATGGTCGGATGATGTTGGGATTTGCTCCTTCCCCCGTTCCTTTTTTTAAATAAATCTTTTAAGAATGCCGTTAAAATAATCGTGAATTTCAGAAAACCATCAGATAAATTTAAATCTACCCACATAATAATGATAGTATAAAAACATTTATTTAATTATTATGTTCTCTATGAAAAGTTAAGAAATTATTTCTAAAACTCTTTAAAACAAAAAATAAAATAAATTAGCCCTGAAAATAAGTCGAATAAGTTCTAAAAACTATTAAACTAATTCAATAAGACTTGTACACGGTCATATATTTCAAATTTTAAAAGGGTGAAATTTTTTTAGAAAAACTTAAAGCATTAATATTATTGTCCATAATCACATAATAACAAAAATGTAATTATTTTATTATAGAAAATACATATTTCATAAATATAAAGTATAATGACAAATGGAAATGTACGAATTTTATATAATACAAGTGTACCACTTTGGATACTCCATAATATTGTATATGCAATATGCATAAAGTAAATTAAACAAAAAATATAGACTTAATATATATTATAATCGTCGATCTCAACATTACTTGATTAGCGCACGATGATAGTGAAACGCGATAGTTAGTAATAGTTTGATGAAACAGTCACAGCGAAGACAATATGATATAGTTTTTGTTACTATATTATGTCATGCGATAAAGTTGACGCATTCTTAAATGTACTCGATAGTTCATTTTTCATACATTTAAAATTTTTTTTTCTTTAAGCATTTCAAAATCCTATTTTTTTTTTTTTTACATATTGTTATAGAGTATTATTCCTATCTCTCCCCACACATTGAATACAAAACATATGTTTCGCTATTGAACATGATAGGTACGTTGTGTGCGATAAAATTTTGTCTTACACGCTCGAGTTGAAGCGACCATTTAATAAAATATTTTGGTATTTCATGAAGTATGAAAAAATCATCGTTTAAACAACTTTTCATAAAACAATTTTTACTATAAAGATTTACGTCAATATGATACATATTTGTTTATCACGTAACATAAGTAATATAAATTTTTACGTGGTGCAGCTTATAAGTACTAAATTTTTTTTAACAAAAATTTATCTATAAGCATTCTTATAGAATGAAATAGTATTTTAGTATTATTATTTATTTATTATTAAACTTTATTGCATGAATATCAAATGTTTGAGTTACAAAATTTTATAAAAACACCTAACTTTCGTCGAATAAAAAGAAAATAGGTCTACTTTGTATGACTTACAAAACGATTTCCATACGTTAGAGTTGTCAGTACACCAGTACAACGTCAAACAGCGATATAAAATAGACCTTCCCCTCCCCAACAATCTGCAACACATCTGTCTGTAACGACATACTTTTCGTGTACTACATTTTTATTGTTAACAATTTTAAGTATATAATACATATTTAATAGGTATCGTTTTTTACTAATTTAAATTTTATTAAAAAGCTCAAGTTTAAATTGTTTTAAATTTAAATTTGAGATAAAGAACCTATTAAATTATTATTGGGCGTTGGGTCATCTATAAATGGTCATGTGTCATACAATCTCATATTGTAAACATAACTAATAAGTATGATATAAATCTAATAATGGCTTACATGTTTAGTAATATAGCTTCCTATACTTATTGTTTTTAAACTATTTTATGAAACTGTTTTACCTAATTACAATTAAACCTCATTTTATCTGAGTGACAAAAGACAACTGCAGTATGTGCTAATAACTATTATACCATTAAATCCTAAATAAATGCAAATGCACACGAATCTTGTGGTGCAATTATGCGGGAATGGGACTTTTCGGCGCTGCCATTTCGGCTCTGCCGTTTCGGCGATAGATATTTTCGGCGCTGCTGTTTCGGCGATAATGACAATACGTATTATAATGAAAATTATTTTTAATATAAAAAAAAATTAAAAATTGCACTATAAAAATGCATTTAAATTATATTAATTATTATATAGTCAAATTTTTAGATATAAAATAATAAAGATTAAAAAATTATGTAGGTACATTAGTAAAAAAATAATAATATAGTCAATTAATGTTTATAAAATTATTATAGTCAACATTTTATTTCAACGCTATATTATTTGATATTCCCCTGATAAATGTTTGAATGTCATTTTTATCGTATCTATCAACTAGTTTATAAATACGATTGTCTGTGTCTCTAAATTTTTTTAACTTTTTCCGTGGACTATTACCCGTTACCAAATGCTCATACTGTGTATCCGTTCCTGCTTGTATTTTACGTAATGTATTTATGAAAGCCCAAATTGTAGGTTTGTTTGCCATTAACTGATTTAATCTTCTATTCGCCGCTTCAGCATGGTTATTTGTACGGTTTTTATTTGTTAATACACGTTCGTATAAATTCCACATTGCCGGAGAAAATCGCGCAGGCCGTCTACCTTCACGACTACGATTTTTCCGACCAATATAAAAGTCTTCGAACCAATCTAATAAATCTATAAGTTCTTCGGGTAAACTTTCTGATAAAATGTCTAGCGCATCATCAAGATCTGATATAGGAACGAAAGCTAATGCGATAATACTTTTTACGTGTATGCAAAATTCTGGTTCATTTTTATAACGAGATATTAAATGTAGCTCACCTAATTTAGACCGAAAGTTTTGACATAAGTGAAAATAACACCCAAATATTTGTACATTAGGGAATGCATATTTTATAGCTGTAAAAGCAGCAAGTTCAAAATCGCAAGAGATTGAGTCTGGATTCAAATCTGGTTCAAGCGTTTTTAACATGTTTAATAGTTTTTCATAAATATTAGCTTTTTTGCTTGGAAGTAGTGCATATATTATCGGGTGTACACCTCCTAATGCTTCCGCCAAAATAACATAAACCTGGGAAAATAATAATGGAGCAATTCTAAAAGTGCCGTCACAGTACCAGGTTCGGGAATTTTTTAATATTTTTAGTCCACTAAGTCGGCCAAATATTAAGACCCTATCTGTTTGCTGCCCACTATCTGCTAATAAGAATTGTTCACTTATTCCATCATTTGGCGAGTAAGTTTTGTATATTTCGGGTAACTGTAGAGTTTTTAAATCTATTGGTGCCGCTGGAGCTGAATTTACTTCATTTCGTTTTCTCCTAATCATTTTTCGTAACGCTTCATTATTTTGAAGGATTCCCTAAAAATATACAACTCTTAAATACGAGGCTAAAATTGTACGTGTGTGCACTCAATGCGAACAGTGACTAAACTACGTAGTAGAATCGGCCTATATTTATGCTGCAAGGCATAAACAATTTTCACGATAACACAGTATGTAATGTTTGTGCATTATATTTGAGTTATAAATAATAATTTTTTTTTCTTATATGTAATTATTAATTTTTATACATACTAATGCCTTTCAAATCTCAATTCTCATTCAATGTTATAAAAATATGCCACAATATTCCAATACATTTTTATTATTTTTTATGTGATAATAAACCTATTAAACGTTATCTTAAACGGGATGTGCTTGGATATCTCTAAAATTGTAGTTAAGACTAAATAAAGTTAAATCTAAAAACAATTTTAAACAAAATGCTTTCATATTTATGACTGTAATTGTTATAGTTTTTAATATTTAATAATCAATATGTATGTTTTATATATTACTCGAGTATTTGTTTAATGAAAAATATGTAAGTCCATGTATAATATATATATATGATTACTGATAAGTTATAATAGATACACGTTTGTGTTATATACGCTTATTAAAATAATGGTATTTGAACTAAATTGCCACACAAGATAATAGTGTACCTTTATAAATATATATTTTAATAACCACAGATTATTAAAATAATTACTATTTAATACTATAATGGCAAAATCAAATCGTCATAAAAAAAAAAAAAATGAAATACAATCTTGGAGTACCTAAAATAACTGCTTTACTACCACAATATTTGATTGATAAACGAATGTAAAAATTTAGTACCTTCTATTAATGTTGATCGTAAAATAATGTATATTAATTATTATGTGTCGATGATATATATAATGAAGTACACGAATCTGCACAAGCACAACTATAAAGCGTGTATAATGTTCGTAATTCTATATAGATAAATTATAGATATATTATCATACATCATATGCTCGTATCTATAATTACAGTGAACTTCTTGTAGATATGAATTAATAAAACCATTTTTTATATTTTCATAGAATATATTGTATAATGTTGTTCAAATAATAATACGAATTGTTTATGACAAAATGATACACAACATCGATTCTAACTAATAAGTTTGTTTTACTAAATATGTTATTTATTCAATGAAAAAATTGTAAGTTTACTGTTTGTTTTTTCAATGAAAATAAAAATATTGATTACAATTATTCGGATAATTTAAAAATAAAATAATTAATTTCAAAACACAAAAGAAAAAAGAGGGACAGTAGGTGATCACTCTGCTGAACAGTGGGTTTCGGGTGTTACTCATCATTGATTAAGTCACTGTAATGAGTGTGTTAAATTTGAATTTAATGATAAACCGTTACAAACAAAAAACAATAAAATTCTGAGCGAAGACGGTCTATTAGTCCATATATTATTAAGTATATTTTATGTTACTATTACAGAAATTTATTTTACTATTTTAATAATATAATAGATTAAACTATTTTTTTTTCAAAACAATTGCATTTGCATCATTAATATTTAATTGTTATAATAATACATATTTATAACATACTATTAACTGGTTTTTCATGCTGTTTACTGTAAAAAATTAAACATCCATGGATTTATCCCGTCTTAAATTTAATTAAATATATATGAATTAAATAGTTTTTTTAATTACATAGTTATAATTACTCATATGGTGATTTTAATTAAATATACACTGCAGATATAAAATTAAATCCAATTATGAAAATAATTTTATTTTTTGTAACTAATGGTAAGCCTATATACATAAAAATATATTAATTTTTTTCTGAACTGACAATTCCTTGCGAGTGTATCTTAAAAATGCAAATTTTAGAAAATTCTCTGTTATTTCATCCTTTCACTATTGATGATATTACTAATATTTAAAGTTTCTTGGTTTAACAATTTAGAATTCCGTAAATATTTTTAATACTATTTTTGTTTTATCATTATAAAAACAATTTATATGCGATTTGTATTACTATTTTAAGTTTTTTATCAAGTTTAAAGATTTTTATCGACATTTTTTAAAAATCGAAAATTTAAAGACATAGATACCTCCTGTACATAGATTAATAATTTGAAAATTGTATTCAATATAGAAAATAATAATGATTTAAGTGACAATGGAATGTTTTGAGTTTCTACGATTAATACTTTTTGAGTAACAATAAAAATCTAAAAATCGTTAGATAATTTATCATTAATTTAGCGTTAATAACCAATTTATTTAAAATTTAAATTTCAAATGCTCTTAAAAAATATTTATGGGATTGTGTTCATTTTTTTTTAATTTTGATGAAATTACTTAGAAGCTTATGTTAAATTTTCTAACTTAAGCTCTGAGATATTAATATGATAAATAACTATTTTCAATCCACTCATTATCTAAAATGTGTGCTGTCATTTCAAAGTGTAAAAACTTTAAAAAAATAATTGTGATATACTGATATATAATGTGCTAATGTTTTTTTTTTTTTTTTTTTGTGATGATTTTTAATGTAAAAAATAATTTTCAAAAACGATATAACTTTTAAATAATACTTGTTTACTGTTGAAATAATCACCCAAAATACTGGACTATTTTTAATATGATTAACATAACTAGCAAAATTTGAAAACAAAATGTATTTGTTTCAAATTTATAAAGTGTCAACCTATATTGTGTACTATCATATACGAAGGTTTGAAAGTATAAAATAGTCGTATCAGCAATATAATATATATCTACTCTATCGTATTAGTTACTACTCACTACTCAATTTACGTTCGATATCGATTTAAAAATTTCAATGTGTTATATTATTAAACTGAAATACGATATAATAATATTGTATTGTACGATATTTTATTCACAATAATTTTATTATTTTAAACAAAAACACATACAATAATATTATAATAATATATTTTATTTTGTGTCTGTATCGACATTTGTGTATTAATTGTACGAGTATGTAATAATATAAAAAAATATTCTAGGATTATATTTTATAGTTGTTTGTAGTTAATCAATTGTCAAAGATTCCAGATTCGTTTATAGTCTTAATATTCTTATATAGAAAAAAAAATCAAACCATATTTAGTTTTCGTTATTGATGTATGCATGTGTGTGTGTGTGTGTGTGAAGTACGTCATTTTACGATCTACACGTGGTTGTCATATAAGAGGAGACCTCATTATTTCCAGCTTTATCAGTAACTTTATTATTTTAATTTTTTTTTTTGTCTGTAAGGAATTGGAACAAACCTATTCAAATCTATAAGAGCTATTATACTATATTATAATATGATAGGACAAATCAACGAAAAAAACACATGTAGATATATGACTATACAGTATTCATATAGACAATTTAAATCATTAACACTCTACACAGTGTTTAATTATTTAAAAATATTTAAATATATACAACTAAATAAGTGTTTTAAATGTTAAATATTATATACTTCACGCACAATTATGATTAAAATGATCAAAACTAAACAATATGAAAGTTTCCGAAAATAAAATTTTAAAAACATGCATTAAATTAAACATCTTTATTAATCAAATATATGTAGACTAGGTACTGACTGAGTAGGTTAACCTACTTACAAGTTAACATATTTCATATATCTTATTTGTTTTTATGTGTAGTGTTTTTTTTTTTTTTAGTTAATAAAATAACGCTTAAATTTCTTTATGTATATTAAATAATTATAAATTATTTATTTAAATGTTAAACGGATCAACACCATGTTAATATTTTGATGCCAATGATTATTATTACATAATTAATTGATCTTTAATAACATTTATTAGACTAAAATAATTAATATTCAAAACACAAAAAATTGATACTTATATAAGATTCATAGGAGTTTCCATGTAGTTACATAGAACATAATATTATCAGTTTATATCCTTTTGGTTATTAAATATAGGTAGGTATCTATAGCTTATACTTTATAGGCTATGGTCGCTATAGGTAAATACTATTTACGCTGTAATACTACGCATACTAAGCTAATATTCAAAATAGACGAAACATTGAATGTGTAGTAAATTACGAATTAAATTTATTGATAAATTATATGGATATGTATCTTAAAAAATAAGTAATTGAAACACATTTTGTATTTTGTATAATTATGCACGTAATAATTTCATAAGGGAGAATAAAAGTAAAAATATTTTTAAAATAATTAATAATTTATTCTTACATAACTGTCGTTACATTTTTTTTTGTTATTGTTGTTGTTGAATACATTTGTTCAGGTAGGATTGAACCTCCTAACAACCCGTTCCCTTTTTGCGCCTTTATACGTTCCCGATTATATAATGATATACAGGCACACTTAAATGTTATTACTCTGTGAATTCAACCATTTCAATCAAATGGACCACTTTCAAAATACTTATTTATTAAAAAGATAAACGTTAATAACCTCACAGTAAGTATACTGATTAATTATTTTAACCTTAAAAATATGCTGAGAGATAACAAGACGAATGGGTTTCTATTTTTATTTTATTTTTATTTCAATATTATATTTTAAAGGGCATATCAATAATATTATTTTAATTTTAATTTATTCGTTTCATTTTACTATGACCGATAAAGAAGTATACCTAGTTTAATATTAAATAAAACTTAATATAAATGTTACCATTGATCTAAAAAGATCGATCCAATTAAAACTATATTTTTAAATAAAAATAAACAATATTAATTGAAAATAAGCTAACGTTGTTCCACGTTAATTATAATGTTATATATGTATATAACATAAACGCGTTCTACTTGATATTTACAATATTTATTCCTATATTAAATTATATAGATTATATATACTATGTAGTATACATGCAAGTACAATATTAGATATATACAGTGTGTTCAATAATAAAGGTAGCACAAAATATATCAAACGTATATAATGATCCTAATTTTTATTTTTTTTATTGCATAATAAACTTATTATTACTACACTTATTTTTGATAAACTTAAATTTTGAAAAATCGCTGATACACATAAACAGCGAAATATTTTTTTTTTGTATTTTATCCTCTCTTTTTAATAATATTGATTTTAAATTTGAATTAAATTATTTTTTTAAACAATTTTAACTTAAAAAAATTTGTTTTTGTATTGAAAATTAATTTATTGAGAGTGAGTTAAATTTTCAATTTATGCATATTGTAATCTACAATTTTACAAAGTTTCATGTAATTTCGTAAAATTGTTTTAAAAACTTAACGTCAAAAGTGTGAAAATACATGAAAATTGTAGATAGAATGTTAAAAAATACAATGAATACAACATGCACAAATACAAATTTTTATTCATTTTCAAAAAACCGATTTTAAAAATAAGAAAAACTTCTTAAATTAAAGATCTTGAAAAAAGTTCAATTTAAATTTAAAAACAAAAAGAAAGGTACTATTAAAAAAAAAAATATTTTTTTTTGCGTGGACATTTTTTTAAATTTAAAATTTTTCTAAGATAAGTGTGATATTAAGTTCTTTATGCAGTTGAAAAACCCCGAGTAAAATTCAGTCCAAAATATTTTGTGTTACCTTTATCATTAAACACACGCTCCAATTATGATAAAATTGGCATAATTTTATATAATACTATACGTCTATAGGTACTATAATAATATGCGTTAGTTTATTATACTAAAGTCATGACGTTTTAAGTTTTTTTTTAATTTTTAATTTGCCACGATGTAAAATAATATGTACTTGGTGCATTTTTTTTTTTTTTTTTGCAACTTGTTTTCCGGCTCAAATCAACATTTTACAAAAAATATCGGTCCATTAATTAACCAATCGTGCCATTTAAAGTGTTTCTACTAGTTCCTAGCTTATTCCACTATCACATCCGAAACGATCATTAGACCCGCTGTAACCCACCATCGTAAGAGGTTCTAAAAATGATGTACATAATAAAAAGGTACCTGTGAATTGTGATTCATTATGGAACACAGTTCATAAAGCGATAGAATGG